CGGTCCCACAGGATCCAAACTAGAAGAACAGAGCAGGTCCAGTGACAGTGACCATGTTCAGCCAACAGCCACATGACCACCAGACAAGTCCCTAGTCATTTAGCAGGTCTCAGGCAAGGTCCTGCATACCTACAAGAGCCTGGGCAAGGACCATGAGTAAGGGGCTGACCTGGACCTGGCTGAGCCGACAGGCATAGGGTGCACAAGTGGAGACACCAGATGAGGCTTCTTGTGGCTCTTTCTTACAGTTTAGCCAATTTAGCTGTTTTCACAGAAGTCTGATCTATGGTCGCACAGCTGCACCATACCAAAGCAGACCTTGAACATACACAGCTAAACTCCGGGCTGCAGTGGAGAGATTGCAGGTTAGAATTACAGGAAAAGGTGGTTACAGGCTGGTCAGTGCAGTTAGAGCCTGCTGGTACACTTAGGGCCCTGACACCAATTTTCTCACACAATGGCTTCGTCACCTAAAAACTGTCCCTGAAAAGTCAGAGCATTTGTATTTTGCCAGGGTTGGTCCACAGAGTATCTACCTGACTCCTTGATGCTCAGTATATTAACACAGATGTAGTTGCAAGCTGTGTAATCTCCAGAGCTTTTTCCCCTCAGGTTTGGAAAGGCAAACCTTCCCTGGAATTTGAGATGGACACAGAGTATTTACCGTCCACCCTCTGGTCCTCAGGATGGTATCCACTATGGTTCCTTCAGTATCTTTCCAGTAAAGATCAAATATTATGATATATTTACCGTCTGTGTGTTTCAGATGTCCTCGACACACCAAGCAGTAATGATATAACAGCAGTGCAGAAGGCAAAAACTCTGTACAGATCATGCATAAATGAAAGTAAGTGTCTTCTGAATTTATTGCATATAGGATATATAAATATCATCCAAAGAACCCCATCTTCACAGTCAGCTATACCTATATCCTCCTAGTTCTTTGTGAAAACTAAGATGTATCCATTCTATAGAGTCAAATAAGAATGTCAATAGTAAAATTAGTATTGTATCTCCTGTTTTACTAGCTTTGATATTTTAGGTGAGATTACATTGCTCTTCAGTTACTAGTTTGCTGCAGATATTTAAACTCAAATCCTTTCAGAAATTACCAGGGATGAGGTAAAAAATAACTGGCAAACTAGGCTTCTAGAAAGACAGGGAGATCATTTATTTCAAGAATTTGAGCTAGATGCTGCCACTAGAATGAGGAGCAGTAAAACAGTTAGCAGTGCTTCCTAAATCACATGTTTTTATAGTTTCCATAATGTTTTTAATACTTCTCAAAACTATTATTTCAAGCTATCTGCAGAGTGAAAATACAATTGTTCTTTAACATCATGGTCGCAAGGATTTGCATATGCTGTTTGCAATCATTACTGAAACGTTTTTTAAATCAAATGTTAAAGCATAGTCATACATCAGAGCATACTCATATTGTGGTGATGGGGAAAACATTTCCTAGCTTCATTATTCTGAACTCATTATAATAGCATAACATTTGTGTGGTTTAAAAATTTATTTTATTTTTAATTTTATTTTTCCAAAAGCTACCATCGATAGCAGAGGTGGAAAGCCTTTAATCAGTTTATTGCCAAATATATCCGACTGGCCTGTAGCAACAGCTAACTGGGATTCTTCCTATGGTAAGATAATCTGTTTATTTCCTTTTCTGTTAAAATTTCTAAATTACTGTACTTTTTATTGCTTACCAAAAACAGAGCCTGAGTATACCTTTCATTTGCTTAGGTGCTGCTTGGACAGCCGAGACAGCTATTGCACAGCTGAACTCCAGATATGGAAAAAAGGTCCTTATTAATTTTTTTGTTGGCACAGATGATAAAAATTCCACAGCACATATCATTCATGTAAGTCTCCCTGGGTGGCATCGCCTCATTGATCATAAAAGTGCAGCAAAATAACTAGAAGCATAGACATAAATGTTAACCAGGAGAAACATTAGTGATTTGAATTTTACCAGAGTAAGTTGTAGATGAGTTTGTGAATCTATGTAGCTTTCAAACTTAAATTATCAGTTTCACAATGCACTGCCCGTTCTCAAAGTTCATCCTTCTGTGCTCTCATACACTGTTACTCTCACTGAGATGAGAATAACGGAGATATATATAGACTGTATACAGCCACAATTTATGTGTACACTGGAGAGAAGACAGACATGATCTACTCATATACGCATGCAAGGAAATAAGTAAACATGATTTCCTTATCATGGACAGAAAGCTCTGTCACTGAAAACCTGGGCTACGCTCCCAATGGCAGAAAGCCCATGAAGGGGGGTGTGTTTTTACAAGGTATTCAGATGCCAAAGTACTAACGGGACCTGCAGTCAGCTGGCACAGATAGAAAGTGGCTGAGGACATTTGCATAAGGATATGTTGAGAGTGCCCTGCCTGTAAATGTAAGATGATCTCTGAAAATGGAAAATCCAGGGAAGACAGTATTAGTATGGTGAATCTTCACCAGCTACTCCTGAGATGCAACAGTTACAAGAGCAAAGGTCTAATCTTTGTTCTCAATGGATATATAGATCCTCGACTACTTTGCATGTATGAATTTCAAAGATGCAGTAACTGCCTTGATTGTCTGTGGACTGTTTTGTCTTCTGCACATCCACTGTTTTAACACCAGTTACGTGTAACATGCATTGTTCAGCAACAATAACAAAAAAAAAGCAAACTTGAAAAGAAAGACAAAAAGTATAAGAAGACTGAAAAGAATTAAAAGAGGGCAACACTATGAGAGAAACTCCCCTTTGGCCAGAAGATAATTTGGCAAGAGTGAAGCATCAGCAAACTGTAACTGAGAAAAGAATAGTACAATGCTGTGCCATTTCTCCTTAAGCACTTTTAAATTTTTATTTGAATTTATAGATTGATCAGCCTGGGCTTGGCCTGCCTTCTCGTGACTACTATGAATGCACCGGTGCATACAAAGAGGTAAGATGAAGCTGACAGATCACTGACTACATTTTAGAAGTTTTAGCCCGTATTTCCAAGGCAGACATATCCTCTTGAGTTGGGATAGGTAAAGAGCAGGAACAGCCCTTCCCCAAACAGATTCCAGTACTGCCCCTGAGAAACACTGCTGAGAGAACTGGGGAAACTGGAATAGAAAAGTAATAGTGATGAGCATTTAAACAAGGTTGATCTGCTGGTGAGAACAGCATGTGTGACAGGCTGGAGAAAGAAGTTTGAACATGAGTAAGTGTACAACTAGGCAAGAGAGCCAAAAGGGAAATGAAGAGTATACAGAGAAATGAGATTAAGGACAAGTAGAAATAAGTTAGCTAAGAATGGGAGGGAGCATAACAAGTGTTGTGAAGATGAGGTGTTGTAATATTATGCCATAATGTTAGTGACCTAGTTTGTTCTTCCTGGCAGCACTAGGAGCCAAGGGGTTCTTGTCTAGGCTCCCGCTGCCAGTTCGTACCAATTGTCTCTGCGCCGGATGAGAAGCCTGCACATTCTTCTGGCATCCCTACACCCCAGACATCCCGACCTGTCTCCCTTCCTGTGTCCCTCTGCTTCTCTTCAATTCCTCTTGTGATCACTGGACATGTATGTGGAGGGAAAGTAGTAGCTTTTCCACACAATTCCTGTATGGTTATACAAGTCAGAAGAGGAACAGCTACTTGACTTTTTAGCATCTCTTGGAAGGAAATAAATGTGAAACAATTTAGCTTTGTTACACAGCTTCTGCCAGGCTTCACAGCTGAGTCAAGAGGTACCTTATAACTGTCAGAGTTGTATTAGGATATGAGTGCTTACGGATCACCTCTCTTCTGTCACTACAAAAAGGATGCCATTTCTGAACTATCGACTGGCATTGATTGGCAAGTGCTGCAGGTGTCAGTGGAGTCCAAATGGACTAGTCATATCACTAACAGGCTTAGAAAAAAAGAACCAGTCAGAACCAAAGACACATTTTTCTGCATGAAAGATCTGAAAAGATCACAGTCCCCTAAGTCAACTGCTGAATGAAAATGCCACAGCCGAAGTACGTGATATCATAGAAATTGCTTCAGCAATTGTTTCCCTGAAATCTCATATGGTCTTCTTTAATTCATGTTTAGTTCTTATTCGGACACATTTTTGTTAACCTGATGGCACTGACACTGCATATCTCTCGCTGCTAATCTTGGATGTGCTTGAAGTCCTTGAGAGCTGAAGTAAATGTATTTGCTGAAGTCATGTAACTGAAACTGCTACCGCAGTAACCTTTAATTAGCCAGTTTTCTTCTGTGTTATTAAATGCAGAAGCGATGAGAAAGTGTACAAAACATTTGGGGTTTGTAGGTATTTTGCTGACATGCTAACAGTTAGTACTCTAACACTGATTACATTTCATTACAGATCACATACTAGTACAGACAATCATTACCATATTAACTGTGCAGTTACATTATTATCACGTGTTATGGCCTCTAGGAGCTGGCTCATGTATCACAATTTGCTCCCTTTTATTACATCCACTGCAGCACTAAAAGTCAATTCGTGTTCTAATCTCTGACCTACCTGAAAGTATCATACTTCTTTACACTGCTGGAAAGTAGAGGAGGAAGTATTTTTTAAAAAAACAGAGATTTATCACTGAAAGGCAGACTCCTTCTTACAAGCATGAATACTTCAAGCTGCAGGCGTTCCTCCTTTCATTCCCTGCGCTCTGATAGCAGCCTTTTCTTGGCTCTGTTTCCTGCTGTGTCATTCTACTCTTTGAGCTGGACATAGCAACAAGCTATCTGCCTCCTGCACTTTCACCTCAGGCTTTGTCAGGACTTCCCACCACACATCTACAAGTGGAATCTGTGAACAAGATATTGTAAAAATCTTTTTCTCTTTTGAGATACATGACTCCTCTGCTCATACAGGAGTTATTCTGATGTCTGAGTTCCCAGTAAAATATCTGAGAGTATTTATACAGTCCATCTGAAATTAGCTGACTTTTAGTTCTTTGCTATCTGACCATACAATGGTCTCACTTTAGGCCAAAAATAAAGTCCACTGATTGGTACCTGAAGATCTCTGTTGGCTTACTGGTTTGGGGTAATGTCTATATTGAATTTTTATAAATTGTGACCTGTTGTAGCTGTGAGTGGTGTCATGGGCTTTTCTCTTTCTGGTAAAATAATCTATCATCTTGATTAAAAGTAATGCTGAGAGTTCAGTCCTTCAAGATGCTGTGAGCCACCTGCCTGCAGATGGATGACAAGGCAGGTAGTTACCAGAATGACTGTATAAACGGAGCATTCACTAATGGAGTGTGTCCTACTGCCTTAGGAGCTGAACGTACCAAAATATTTCTATTAATAAAGTTGATGACATGCACACCTTACTAATTCTAGGCTTTATCACTGGTTTAATAGATTATGCTGTTTTGCATAAAACAATTTATTATTAGATAGCTAATATTGTGTATTTTGATTTGCATTTTAAAAGCAAATAAAACAGCATTTCTGTTGGTAGAAAAATGAGTGTGGCTTATCAAAGAGGAATTAGAATAATACTAAGTTCCATAAAATATAATGAGATCTGTAGATATTTGAGAGTATAACATTTAAGAGAAAGTACTTCCCTATTTACATTCTTATCCTTGGTGAATTCTTTTATGTTAAATTTAATATATACTATATTGTCTATAGTATATCTAGCTATACTAAATTTAGATACAGCAACATGATTTCTAAATGTTCCAAGAAGCAATGGAGGAGGTACACTGCTTCTGAGAGCAATTTTCCAACAACACTAATTCAACAGGGTCCATCAGCATTTCTCTCGGTTTTATGTTTCTGGGAACATTGCTCTTTGGAAGCGGTATTTTTGGAAGTTGTAATTAAACTGAACTAGAAAAAACACGGGCGATGGTTTAAATATGGACGTACAAATGTCTCATTTTAAATAATGAAAACACAGTGCAGTAGTTGGGAGTGTTTAGCTTTGAACAGTGCTACAAATTATACAGCAATTTTCCATGAGGGAATTTGCAAAGTTAATTTCTATTTGTGATCTAACAGTATTTCAGAATAAACTACTATTAAACTGTTTAAGAAAGGGATGAAGAACTGTAGTTCATAAAAATGAAGATGAAATCTTAAAGATAATCAAGGTATGCTATCCTTTGAAGAGTTTTGTCTTTAAAATGTTTGTATTTTTTCCTGCAGGCATGTTCTGCCTATGTTGATTTCATGATTTCTGTAGCTCAACTAATCCTACAAGAAAGAAATATTTCTGTGACAGAGAGCGAGATTTCTGAACAAATGAGAAGAGTTATGGAGCTGGAGAAAGAGATTGCTAATGTAAGAAAAACATTTTTGAAGTATCCTTTAAATAACTGACTTTTTTCTTACTACCTAAGCAAGCTAACTGTAAACTGAGTTCTTAAGTTACTTGCTAATGTTATTTTGTGGCACCAAAACCTGACCAAAAATGTATGGGGCCTGGAACACCTAAGAGGAACACATAATAAGAAAGACATGCCTTCTAATGAGCAAGGGAAAATATTTGAGTTAGCTATTTTCCAAATAGCAAAATGTTTTATCCTAATCTGTTCACAGAAGCCCTTCAAGAGAAGAGAGAGCAAGAGAGAGACAGACTTGGTTTCTGTTTACTCTGTTTCAGAAAGTGAGTTTTAGGAAATGCTTTTGGGCCTCTTCTCCCTTTGTCCTGTTTTCCCCACGGTTATCAGAGCAGTAGATTCCCAACCCTTGGCCTGCCATGCAGCACAAAGTAATGTTTGTCCTGCACAAGCTGCTCCACAATGCTGATTGTTCCAAGTGCATTTTTAATCAAACACTGTTCTCCATTAAAGTATAGGCTTGGAGAAATAGCTAGAATTTGAACTTGCATGGAGAAAAACAAATGGAAATTCAAGCATTTGTAAGCAAAAACATGGCTTATGATTATTAAACATTTCAGAAGGACCTGAAGCTGAGAATGACTGTAAAACAAGCTAAATTTTCTAGCTTCAGCTGTTTTTCAAGTTACACTGATAGCAAGGGTATGTATTTGGCAGAGGAAGACCTTCCCCCTCCCCATTTGTATAAACTAAAACCATCTGATTTTCATTTTCTTCACATTTTCCTGAGAAACACACCTCTGGGCTTAGGTCAGAGATGGAAAATTATTCCAGAAAAGGAATTAATTGGAGAAAGATTTGGAGGGGTACGAAAGGAAACTACAACTGGAATGTCTCTACAGCAGTTGCTGCTTGTAGAGAGTGCAGTTGGTGGTGGGTAAGCTGCTATTGCCTCGGTTTTTAATCAAAAACTCAGCACCAGCCTGAATGTTGCTGGAAGAGAGCTGGCATTGTGCTCATGGGAATTTGTTAAAGAAAACAGAAAAAATACTGAATGCACAATAGATTAGGAAAGAGGAAGTGGAAATCTTTTTTTAAAAAGGATATATAGAGATAAATTCAGACTTGGCATGACTGATTTTTCAAAACAGTTTAAATGGGTAACATCTACTATTCTGTTCACACTCCTGAGCGAGTCATTTAAGAGTACTTGAGGCAGTAGCGATGTAGATTCTCCCGTGAATTACTCTCATGGATCACAAGATCACTCTTTTCCTGTAGTCATTTATGTACCTGCATTTTCTCCCTCTGCCATCAAAAACAGTGGAAGTTAAAAGGAAGTGGAGTATGAGGGGAGCAAGTGCTCTTCTGGACTCGCTCCAACAGCTCCATGTCCTTCTTGTCCTAGGGACCCCAGAGCTGGATGCAAGACAGTGTTCATAGACCAAGGGAGTAGTTATCATTAGGTGCTGGTTTTGTCTCCTTTCAGTCTACGTTGTCCATACCCTAATTCCAGAGACCTCCCTGCTGTCAATTTGCTGTCCAGAGCCTCCAGTGATTACGTTGCTTTGTAAAGCACCACCATAGACCCAGTTCTCTGGCAGTCAGGCACTTTTATTGTCTACAGGAAATGGCCCTAATACAGTTGTGCCAGTGAGGTGTTAATGTATGTACATTTTTAACACAGTGGTGCAAAACCGCATTGCCTAGACTAATACAAAGGTTATTTATGAGTTTTGAGTCCTGACCTATACAGTGGTTGCAGGAAGAACGTATCAGATAGAACATGTCTCCTGAGTGCTCACACTGCATTCCTACCACAGCACGCTGGTCACCCTATACTGAATAAATACATCTTTATTCCCTTCTCGCAAGGTTGTGCACCTTGCATCATCCTGTGAATATCATGAGCACATTCTTGTGCTGATGTATCTATTGGTAACAGTGTCTACTCAGTGCTTTGAGTGGTATGGGTCAGAAATTTAGTTTGTTTAGTCTGTCCTTTTGTATATTTTTTATCTATAAAATGCTGTCCATATTTAGATGTAAGGTACTTTACAGTTAATGCAAACTTACAGTAATGTATTAAGCCAAAAAACTTGTTTTCTTTCTTTTTACTTCCACTTACCAAAATTCCTGTGAACTCACTCAATGTACTTAGTAATTTTCTCATGATTAACTTTGATAGGCAACAACAAAATCTGAAGACAGAAATGATCCACTTTTGCTGTACAATAAAATGACCTTGGCACAACTCCAAAACAACTTCTCATTGGAAATTGATCATAAGGTGAGTGATCAATAATCTGATATTTTAACCTCTAATTTATGACTGATAAGACCAAACGATGAAGCTTGACAATTTTTTCTTTTAAAGACATTTCTTTCTTGAGCTGAGTCATATTTGATATTGAACAGTATAGCTGATGTGCACACTATCTTACCTAAACATCTGATGACATTAGGCTGTATGTAAAAGACATACCCATACTTCTGTACCCACCGTGTCTCCTAACTTGAAGGTAGATCTTGGCCTCTGCGTCAACATAAAGAGATGGAAAAGGACAAAGGAAAAAAAATACCATGAGTTCGACTTATCGTCATGGATTCGGGATGGTAGATTTTGCAAAACTTGCACATACGTAACCCTTGCTGGAAAACAGGAGAATATCCTTTGCAGAGTACAAATAAATTCCCTTCCTACAATTACCACAGCAGCTCCAGAGGGCCCAGGATAAAAGTTAAGACCATAGCCACCAAATGATTCAAATATGTTGTCGCGTAACTATTGAGCCCCTCTCTCTGTTTATCCAGAGCTGCAGATTCAGGACAAAAAGTCCTGGTTTTCCAACATTCCCCCTGTAGGATGGGCTCCCAAAGCATGCAGAAAGGAGCCCAGAAAGTCATGACTATGAATCGGGAAAATCTCCCCATTCCTCCCACTGTACCTCCTCCGGGATGTTTCAGCTCTGGCTTTTTCCTTACCCTGAGCCATGTGCCGTTTGTGCCGTATAACCTTTAATTCATGGCACCACAAAGTTCAGCTGAAGAATAGCCAAAGATTTGATAACATAGGTGTGCCTCCTCCGCAAAATCCCATCTAGCTAGACATGCATATTTTTATCATAAAGGACTTCTACTTCAGTGTCTTACACAACAGGCAAGCAGGTTAACTACTGTGTCACATGGAAAGCACTGTGGTCTGACTGGCAGGAGTGCATTACTGAGTCTTCTGAGGCCAGTAAGGTACTATGAAATACTATTATTCCTACCACAGTTTCATAATTATTGACTTTAAATTCTTCAAATTTAAATTATATGACAGTTCACTTCTGCCTAGCTTAATTTGTTTCATAATTTACCTTCTCCCACAGGTCTTAGTTGAACAGTTACCATTAGTCGTAATGTCAGAAACTAACTTCTCTTGTCACAGAATGGTATTGTCCTGGTTATTTTTAGTTCCTGGGGAGTGCTGCAGATCAGCAATAATCATCTGCTCTAAATTTATCCAAAAATGCTCAAAAGACACATGATGGGAGTTGGTAGCATTGTTGTAATGGTCTAAGGATAGAACAGCAATTATTCCTAAGATTAGCTTGAAGTTTGCTGCTTCCCTTTCAAACCTGAAGTGATTCTATTCCTGAAAGCTTATCTTCTTTCCTCAGCTACATTAGTTTGTCTGATGAAAGACGTTACCTCTTCCAATAAAACTTCCCTCTCAGAATATACAAACTGGCAAAAATCACCAATACTTTTCAAAGTAAAAGGCTTAACAAAAATTTTAAGAATTAACAAAAAAGAATTTTAAAAAGTACTGAGATTATTTGCTTTTCTTAAATGTAACCCCCCTCCTTGTCATTACTAAAATGAGCACCTAGGCAATGTGGAAAAGCACTGAGTAGCTCTAGAGTTTTGATGGTGATTTTCAGCTTCTGTTCTGAATCATTTTCTCAAACGGTCCTCCATAGAGGCCGTGGATTGGGAAACCTTGGGCCGACACAGAGACTTTGAAGCAGTGTATATATAGTTAGCTGTAGCATCAGTGTCATTTCCCAAAAAAGGGAATGGAGAAATTGGAGGAATGAGTAACACTGTACAGTCTACAGTATTCCAAGCTGGAGGATCTCTCTCTTAGCTGGTATCATACAGAGGAAGACAAGTAACACACTCAATACGTGTGAAAATACTTGGTTTGACATGACCTGCAGGTGTGAAGTTCCTGGGTAGGGGAAGGGGTTATTATCTCCCATTAATACGACGCTGTTGCTCTGAGTCGTGTGACGGAGGAGCAGCAATGTGGCTGCACGCAGTCCAGCTTCTTTGCCCACCTAGAGCCTGGCTGCATGGGTCAGACCCCAGTGCTGTGCAGCCGAGCAGTGACCACCCTCTACGTTCTCTCAGTAGGCGAGAGAAGGACTCTGTGTTCTCCAGCCAGTCCGGTGACCCATCTACTCCCTGAGGCATGTGGTATTGCTAACCAAAGACTTCGCAAAGGGAAATCATTTTTCTGAAGAGCAAACTAGTAAGAGTTTCTGGTTGAGAGTGCCCACACACTACAATAACGCTCTGTTCAGACTAGATGGACACTGCAGAATGAAAACTTAACTTAACTTTCATAGGTACTGGGTCATCACAGTTATATGGGCCTCTCACAAAGGCGAATACCAGCATAAAGAAAATGGGGGTGTTGGACCAGAGAGGCAGAAAACACACAAGAACTCCAACCTTTGTCTGAGAGTTGTCTGGCACAGCATGCTGCAGACTGGCCTCCTATCAAATCAGTTGCTTCTCCAGTATCTAGTACTGTGGCATGCAGAGGAAAATTCATTATAGATAGTGGATTTACTGTGTCTGGTTTAAAGCCTATCAAAATATATCCTTTTATGGACTTCAGTATACTTCAGAACAACTCCTTACTATATGCTTCATAATGGATTGTCGAGTACACCACCCCACAGGTAGAGAGACATCCTGTACTGAAAATTGGGCTGTTAGTGGTGCTTTGATTTAAAAGTTCTTAGCCAAATACAGCAAAAAATGCAACTGAAAATTTTACTTAAAATACCATTTCTGCTTTTCCAGGCTAAAAGGAAAGGGTCATAACATTTCTAATCGTGTTAGTTTGAACTCAAAACACTGTCTCGACCCTTTCTGCTAAATCCTACCCTATTTTAATAGGATTTTACAGCACAGAGGATATAAATTATCTCAGGTCCATTATTTACTAGATGATCTTTAAGGTTCCTTCCAACCCAAACCATTCTATGATTCTATGATTATTATGATGACTCCATTTACAAGTAGTGCAGCTACTAGGAAGAACTAAAGACAGAGCATTTGTGTTATGCAAATGTTTTTAAACTGGAAAAAAAATCTATATGCTGTTTCTTTATGATTTAACGATATAATAATGCATATTGATTTTCCAGGTATTCAACTGGTCAAAATTCATAAATGATATAATGTCAACTGTACAAATTAACATTGAGAACACCGAACATGTCATTGTTTATGATCCAGAATACCTTATCAGGCTGAAGTCTATTCTTAATAAATACGCTCCCAGGTAGGTATGTTAGGTATTTGTGTAATTTGCATTTTATTTCCAGTAAATTTAAAAACATTACCAGCTTATTATTGTTGTTTTGTTAAACAGAGATCTTCAAAATTACATGATCTGGCGATTTGTAATGGATCTTGTCAACAGCCTAAGCCGTAGCTACAAGGACACAAGGAATGCTTTTCGTAAGGTGCAGAAATTAATCTCTCTTTAAATTGTAAAGATGACTTTTGCGAACCACAAAAGATAATTTTTTTTTATGTAGCTGTAGTATATACAAATTTAGTGTATTTTGAATTTTGCACACAAAATCTAGATGTGTTTGCTGAAGATGCTGCTGGAGTGTACACTTAATTTATATGATTACGCTTGCTAGCTGGAGTGGATTTGAAAAGCTCTGTTCTGGTACTTGGTCTCCATGTTTTTTGGCATCTAAATTAATCCCCACTTTGATAACAGAACAGTCCCATTTATTTGCGAATGATTACTCTGCAGTTCTGATTGACTTGTTACAAACTCTTCAGCATCCAAAGTAACACATTCAAAGTCAAACATTATGGGCCCAATCTTGGTTTTCAATCACTTGATCCTGCAGATATTTTAGTGCTTTTAAGGGAATGCTGAGCAATTTCACAAACAGATTGGAGATGGAAGTCGTTTGTATTTCCACAGTAGAACTTCCTACTTTGTAAGTTTGCTGAGCTCCATTTAAAAAGGTTAAGGCCATTTTGTTATATCTGTTAGTGACATAAGAAATACTTTAACATGCATATGCAGCTTTTTAAGGAGATTCTGCTTGTTACGGAAAAAGATAATAATTACTGGAGGAAGTCAACAAGCGTCCAGTTCAGTATATCTGAACAAGGCAGTCTTACTCATTATTTGTCTTTTCCCCCTACTCTTTAAAGTACAAAACTATTTTAACATTAAGATTCATATTTGCTTATTCTGCATCATCAAGGAATACTATGTTTTGCACTCTATAGGCAAGACATCCCCCACTACATCTATAGGACTTCACTAAGAAAGTTTCATTTAGAAAAATGTCAAAGTTTGAAAGAAAAACAGAAAAAGATTTTGCCATAGTCTATGTATAAAAAAACATACCATTTTCTACTAGTTAATTATTAATATATGATATAGATGGAGCTTCTCACACTAAATGCAGTGGAAATAATAAACTAGCATTTGTTTTGTTACATTTGCTTTCAAATATAAATGCTAGAACAGTTCTGGCATTCCATTAATCTCCCATACCACGTTTTTTCTGGGTTGTGCAGCTAATTGGTCACTTATTAATTCAAAACTCCATTTGTTTTAAATACAGAGTGCTTAAAATGTGCTACAGAAAGTGCCAGAGTCCTGGCAGAAAGATTGTTGGATCTGCAACCACTTCCTTAAGAAATCAGCAAAAAGATCTCAACAGATTACTAGAGTGCGCATGTAGATGGGCCTGTGTGTTACTGAGGGGCTGTGCTGTCACGCTAAATCACTTAAGTTTGGTTTTCTGTCTCAAGGTCAAATTTTCAGTTTTCACTGTAACATTTGTCCAATTTGTGCCCTTCCAGAAGATCTACTGTCAAGAAGCTCAGATGCGAGGGTGGAAAAGCATGCAGAGTAGTATTGTGACACTGCTTTAATACTTAAAGCTACTGGAACTGTATCCTCAGGATACAATTACTCCCACCAAAGAAAAATCAGTATCTTTCCTTTTTTCCAGGATTTATTTAAAGAGAAAAAAAATGTGTTCCCTATGATGTCGTAATTGAGAATTTATGCCCCATGAGAATCACAGAATCCCAGACTGGTGTGGGTTGGAAGGGACCTCACAGTTCTACCCCCTGCCATGGGCAGGGACACCCTCCACTAGCCCAGGTTGCCCAAAGCCCCATCCAACCTGGCCTTGAAAGATCAGGAGGTATAATTTCCAGTGCATCAGCACTGTACATGGACGAATCCACAGTAATGCATTTTAATTGCATATTATTTTTACTAATAAGCAGGTAAGTTTTGGTTGCTGTAGAAGGCACCACTTTGTTTTCTCTTGTGCACCTCTGGTGACACGAGGCTTACTTAAAAAGGGTTCCTGTGAAAGGTAATCTTGGTCTGATGCAGGTCTACCACGGTCTCAAGTATCTCTCTACCCAAGTCATGCTGAGACCAGTGAACTGTGATTGACTGGGATAAGCTTCAGCAACACAAACTGATCTACCAGAATCTTCATTGCATATCTAAGAAAGAAATGGATTGAGGACGGACAGATTTTCTAGTCTATTCTATTCCGCTGTTTGTCAGTAATGAGTTACAAAAAGCTCCAACATCACAGGCTCTTCAGGGAGACCTGCAGTAGACATCTCTGGGCTGTGTTGTACTGGTAACATTTTCAAAAGACCATTCCTGTGTCCCTAATGCTTTAGGGTGAAAAGAAACATTATTTTCCTAGTAATTCAGTTCAAGGTATAGCACTTACAGAGCTTTTAACATCAAAAGTCACTGATCTGTACCTCTGAAGAGATGGGTAGCTGCTTTGTTATGAAATACAAACTTCGTTATAGAATGTGATTTCAGAGTTGCCCTGTAATGACACTGCTACATTCCTTGCATTCAGGTATCATACCATTGTATTACCCACTCAGCTTTATCACATATTTATACATAATCATGACAAAATCCTTGCATACTTTGTAGCAACATCTCACAGAGTAAACGAGTTTCTACTTTGCAAGCTCCCAAAGGTGGGAGGCTCTGACAGAAGCTGCTGGTTGAGTAGAAAACACAATCTTACCACTGCAGAAATTAATTTGCTGCATAATCACAATGGCCCTGTCACAACTGGAACTGCAGTACAGATCCCTGTAACAGTGAAAGTTTTGTGTCAGGGTATTCCTCTTTAACCTCTCCCATTCTTAGCTTTTAGAGTAGTTTTCTTCTCTCTACCTTTCATGTTTTGAAAGGATAAAGAATACTGCTGACTCTCATATTGCCTCAGCCTGTGACAGATGTTCCCAGGCACCGAGTGAGTCCACCTAACGGTCACAAACACAAATGTGAATTAAATGCATGTATTTAAGGTCGACCAGGCTCCTCTGAAACACACGGCTGCCAGTCTGTCACCATTCTCCTTCACCTTATGTGGGCCCAAATGTTTACCTAATGTTTATGTTTCACAGGCACTTTACGGCACAACATCAGAAACTGCTGTTTGGCGTCGTTGCGCAAACTACGTCAATGGCAACATGGAGAATGCAGTGGGACGATTATATGTAGAGGAAGCATTTGCTGGAGACAGTAAACATGTGGTAAAGCTTTTAGCAAACTTAGCCTGCATACCATCTAAGCATCACTTCATTGTCACTTACCATGGAGTTCTTTACATAGCTTTGATTACACTTTTTATTCACTTTTTCTATATAGCAGGTTCACTTTCTAAAAAAACTAACCTTCAGATTTGCTTCTCAATCAGTGTACCACTGAGGAGTAACGAGAACATATGTGATAGGAGAGTCATTCCTTTGCACCTAAGTACTTCTGCATTATTTGTCGTGAGCTGGCCTGCTTTCCAAGCAAATGACCACAGTGTGAAGTAACGTGTGAAACATGAAGATTACACGGGCACGCTTGGAGGGAGAGAGGCATCTGCCTGCTCCACCTGCAGTGTGAGCCAGCCTTGAGCCTGCAGCACCGCCGGCACGATAGTGCCCATATGCACACCCAAGGAACAGCACTTACTGAAATAACAGTCACTGCTTGTTCTTTGAGATGGATGCCAGTTCACATCCAGCCAACATAGGGTGCAGGGACAACTGGGCACTTCTGTTTGACTTCAGTCACACAGAAAATGGCTGAAAATTAAGCCTTAGTTTCCTCCTATCACTCCTACTGTAATACAGGCTTGAGTTACACCATTTTTTTGTGGTTGACATATACGCAATAATTTGATCAGATGCACAACATCCAACGGATGTCAGATTTTTTGTCAACTGAACTGCATAGCCTTGTGAGCTCATGCCCATTCCCTTTCCTCCCACAGGCCAGGCTAAAAGTACTACTTAACTTGAGCTCCATGTTTTGAGCATGGCCCATAAACAGCACACACTTAAGCAACTAGTGCAGGAAAAACAAGTCTGTAATAAACTATGACTGTGGAAAAATAACTGGACCATTTTACGTGGATTTGTGATCTTTTTTCCAAGGTTGAGGAAATGATTGCAGATATACGTGATGTTTTTATAAAAACCTTAGATGAACTTACCTGGATGGATGCAGAAACCAAAAAGAAAGCAGAACAAAAAGTAAGTTAAATATTGGTAATATTGTGTATTTCTATAAAAATCAGTATTTCAGTTGTTTTTCCTGAAAAAAATAAGTGGTAACATCTATCACTATTTTATGTAGACAAACCCACATATATTTGTGTTTATATAGGCACAGCAGCTTACAGACTTCCTGTATCAGATCTAGATTACCTGGGAAGGGGCCTCTGTGGAGATAAGTGCACAAAATAGGAGGAATCTATATACAAGATTAAGACCTCCCAAGCAAATCAGTGATTAAGGGGCTAGATAATGAATATCTACAAGAAAGTCATACTGAAAATGAGAAGGAATGATTTATGGTGACTTGAGTAGCTATTAGGAGCGACAAAGCTAAAACAAAAAGTCAGACCGTCAGTGAGTTCTCTTTAAGGGAAGACATAGCTTCAGACAGTTCATGTATGTCTGGAGTAAGTAACAGAAATCAATTGTAGCCATGAATTGGGAGAGAAGCAATTGAAAGATTTATTACATCTCTATTGTGTTATACTGTAGATATAATAACACATCTTCAATTTATGTTTTAATGATAATTTATTATTAAAATTTAATTTTAAAAAAGCTTGTAAAATATAATGGTTTTATTAATTATAGAGCGGGACCTGATATTTTCCTCCAGAATTTTGTGTTAGAAAATCTTAGAAAAAAACATTAATAACCAGCAAAATATTACTGGTTTATCAAACAACTCTTGACTGTAAAGCCCTGCAATAAGCTACGATTGCAACAGATAGCTAAGACAGTCAGGGCATCCAGTGGGCTTATACTGATTATGATGTGATCAGACAGTAAAGACGCAGTTGGATGAACTGGTGCATTCCTAGTGTTATTTCCATAGCTACACAGAGCCATCAATTACAACCACACAGGAACCTCGAATCAGGCATGGCAATGTGACTCAGGTAGCAAACTGAAAACCCTAAATAAACTCTGTACTATGATTAGACACAGGCAGTATTTGTACAAAGTCTATGAAATACTTCCACTGTTACGAACAATTTATTTGACAAAATGAAATGCAAACTGTCTGAAAAGATAGGATCAGAAACCCACACACACTCCACATGTTGCTTATCATAGTCACTTGTTTGTGGGAATTGCCTACATCAGAAAATTATTTGTATAGATAATGTGATTTTACTGCTAAATTTATTAAGACATATTTATATGGAAACACTGGAAAGAATTGCTAAAGAATCATTTGTTCTTTGGTTTGGTTTTTTTTAATTACTCTTGACATTGCCATCAAATACAAATCAATACTTGGCTATCAAAAGAAACTTGAGTAAGGTTTGGGTTAAAAAACTTTGTTCAGGACTTCCAATTGTCAAAATTTGGGAACATTTAAGTAAATTCTTTCACTCCAATGTAGATGTGGGAACTAGTTAAGAAATACGGATACTGATCCAAACGCAGTCAAGATTTCCGTAAATTTGTAAATGTGTTTTTCTGTAGCGTACTGAAGTTAAAAAACTTCCAGTTATTAATTTTATGTCTATTTTGGATGCTGTAAAATATGTCAAATATTTCAGGAGATCTACTGTTTCTTTAAACCAGCCTTTCCACTCAAAAGCATAGCTGAAGTATGTTTGGCTGTCTTGTGCACATTTCTGTAAGTTTTCTTATGAAGGAAGGAACAGAATGTACTTTCTAGAATTTTCCATTGTTATAATTAACCATAAACTTTACAGTGCTTTCAATGAATAAAAAAATGTAAATTAAAAACATATACAATTAATATCCTGTGGTTTTTTCCAGTTGCTTCCATATTGCATTATTATGTAATTTATGATTGATTTAAAAATATGGCTGGATTTGCTATGGATATCAAATTATCTTGTCCCTAGGCAACAGCAATTAGAGAGAGGATCGGTTATCCAGATGAGATCGTGACTGATGACAATAAGCTGAACAGTGAGTACCAGGAGGTAAGTATCCACAATAGGTAGTATAATTAGAAAAGAGTCTTAAGAGAAAAAATGGCGATTTTGCCTTCATAGCTGAGCTGAACCACATGCATCTGCATAGAGTAACTCAAGCTTGTGCGCAGTTGCACGTGTGTAAATAAGGCTGTATTAAAAGCCAGTGTAGTACAGTTAATCCAGTACAGATAGTCATAAGTATTTGACGGTGTTTCAAAGGAACGTATAAATTCTAGAGCAGCTATGCTAGAATAAAACATAGAGCCAATGGTGCACAGTCCAGCATTTCTAAGTCTGCCGCTGGTTGAAGTGGATGCAAGTACATAACTTAGTAACTGTGCCTGTTTACCCATGGATTGGAATTGGTCCCTAAAGTATGACATTGGACTACACGTATGATTTAAACTGCATCTGAGCTTTTCACTGCAAAATGTGACCTCAGTGTTCTTTTACCTTGTAGGTTCATTTGTGAGAGTAGCTCCATTAGTGTATTCAGTAAACATGAATGTTCAGGCAGAATATGTCTTAGAAGTCACAGTTTCAATTTTGAACAATACAAACATAACACCAAAGTATGCTTTTTAAAACACCATTTGAGCCTTATTCATGTGTTCTTTCTAAGGTGGAATTGCAGCTTACAAGGCTGGTAGCTACTGGTTTCAAGCAGGCAACTCCCAGAGGCTAGGGTCCTAACCAACTAATGCTGAATTCAAAATATATATATATAAAGAGGGAATAGAGATCTCTGGAAAAAATTATACAGCTGCTAACATATATCCAGCTACAATATCAACTCTGTGATGTAGCAGAGCACTGCAAACCAAGTTATAATTGTAGATTAAAAAGTACTCTTAAAAATGCATTGCTGAGCTCATCATGATTAAGACTAGATTTTCCAGATCCATGTGTCTTTTATTGCAAATCAGTAACCCCACCACTAAGTATTTTCCCCTCTTTCTTTTTAGTTGAACTACAAAGAAGAAGAATACTTTGAAAACATTATTCAAAATTTAGTATTTACTCAGAAGAAAAGGCTGAAAAAGCTTAGAGAAAAGGTGGACAAAGAGGAGTAAGTATTTAAAAATATTGTGTGTAGTCTTTCATCCAGTTTCCCCAGGTGGAGGTACTTGGAAAGTAATAATTGATGATTTAATGAACTTCCTTCTGCGCTTTTTCCTCCATGAGAAGGGCAGGTAAGAGAGCACTGGTCATTTCTCAAAGGCTGGACCTCCATTAGCAAGTAGGGCAAAGAAACTGGGAGATGGTGTAGAAGGTTAAGTATTCTGGAGTAGGTCTAGTCTGGTCCCTTAGCTCCTGGAGTGGATTAGATGGACTCCTGGAGAGCAACTTTTTAATTAAGTTCATCTGAAAGATTAATTTCATCCGTGAGAAGTTTGTTTCTCTTGCTCGGAGATTGCTGAGCCAAAGAAAGCATGATTAAATGAGGATGAGCAGGAATTTACTTCAGAAATGTACTGCTGCTCTGAATTAAAATATTACTGTAGAATGTAGCTGTACCAAAGACTGGCATGGCACATTCCCTAGCTGTACTGGCTACTCTTCCTGTCACAGCTCCGACCTATTTGGAAGTTAATTTAAGCCAATCAGAAAAATGACTGTGGCACCATAGGCCATGCTAACTTTGCTGGACTGTTCATTTGAATAAGGGCTGCAGAGCTGGATTTGTCTTGAGAGGAAGATAAAAGAACCAGCCTTGTACAGTTTAAGAAAGAAAAGACCGAAGGGAGGTCTCATTGCTGTCTTCAACTACCTAATGGGAGGCGATGTAGAGAAGCCTGACTTCTTGGAGATGCACAGTGACAGGCCAAGCGGGAAGAGACACAAGTTGGAACATGCAAAATTCTGAGTAGGCGTTAGGAAAAACTTTTCACCATGTGGGTGGTCAAACAAGACACAGAGGAGTTGTGAGATCTCCGTATCTCCATCCTTGGAGATACTCAAATTGTGAATGGACAAGCCTCTAAGCAACCTGATCTAGTTAGCTTCGCATGGGGCCATATGACTTCTAAAGGTCCTTCTTACCTAAATTATTCTATAATTCTGTGTTTCTATTTTTAATTACTTTATAATTTTCATAGTGCTGGTCCAGACTTCTTTTTTAAGGAAAAAAAGTAAAATCAAAACCTGCAACTGTTCAGACTCTTTCTAGTCAGTCATCATGCATCTTCAAATTCTCAGCTTTTCAGAAGATGAAGTATGTACTTCACACCTCTGGAATCACCACTATGAATTTCCCAAGTACTATATTATAGCTTTTCAGAACTGTTGTCATTATTGTGGATAAATAGTTTCAACTGTTGCTTTCGCTGTTCTGTACTTACATATCAGTAACTGAAATTTTATGTTCCACCTAGCAACCACCTCACTTCTGTTTTAATTTCAAGCTGTGTTTGGGCTTGGCTTGTTCAATTGCTTCAGCTTGATTTAACACAACTCCTGTTTTGTTCTCACGAGGGGATATTAGTTAGGAGTAACCACCATAAGTTTAATTGCTTTCAAAGAGTACCTTAAGTGAGCCTGGAAGTATCAACCACAATTGATTATCCTCTGATAGTTATCGTTTATCCTGCAAATTAACTTTCACTTAATCAAGCAATAGGCACTGTTAGAATACTTTGCATTGCTTATGATTGGTATAGGCAATACAGTTCTCAAAAAGATCATTTATTATAGAAATTAATTTCACTCAGAGAGCACAGAGCCAGGAAATACAACTTCAGTTGTGTAAGGACCAACTATTTATTATCTCATTTTCTCTGACATCTTTTCTGAAAATAAATGCTGCAGTCTGGGTGGAAACAGAAACAAAAACCAAGTGTCATTGTTAATCAGTTTGGATAACGAAGGGAAAGGGCTACTAAAATGATTAAGGGCTTGGAGTGTCTGACATAGGATGAGAGGCTGAGCACACTGGGGTGTTGGACTTGACAATTTCCTGGAGTACATTCCAACCTCAATTATTCTGCAATTCTGTTACTCAACATCTAGGTCTGTTGCAGGAATCGTTAACTCTGCCATTAAGAACTGAAATGCTAACATTTATATTCTTCTGTTGTTACTAGGTGGATAAGCGGAGCTGCTGTTGTCAATGCTTTTTATTCAGCAAGTAGAAACCAGATAGGTAAGGTTTACCAACTTATTTACTGGATGCAGATTCAACGGCCAAATTACTTTTTTTTTTTAATATATATATATTTACAATCAAGAAGTGAAACAATCAATATTATGGAGGTTGCAGGAGGGCCTCAGTGCAGCAAAATCAGAGGTTTCATTCATAGGATTTTCATCTCCCTATGTTTTGAATTGCTGTTGTGCAGAACAAGGACAGAGGCTTGGGATTCAGCCATGAAAGCAATAGCAGTGTGGAGTGGCTAGAAGTTTAATAGCTAAGTAATTTGGTGGCCCCAGCCTTGTTCTAAGGGATGAACAGGGAGCACAGTACCACTTTTACCTGAAGGAAACACTGACTAAAAGTTAGTTGTGCAACTTCCTGCCGTAAAGTACAGCTGGTTTCCATTCCTTATAGTCCCTTCACAATTCCTTTGTATAAGCTTATTTAGTATGGCTTTTGGAAGGACGTTGAGTTTCATCCTGCTGGTTAATGAATACACCAATTCATTGACTGAACCACTCAGCGTCCCGTAACATTTCACATGGTAGGCTAGAATCACGGAGCCCCATACTTGTTCTCATGAAGCAGTACACTTTGCTTTCTGTAAGGGTAATTACAGAGAGTGAGACCAGTCTAAAATGAATGTCGTATTATCAAGGCAACAAATGTTCTGCATTTGATGATGAAATATGTCCTCATCTCCAGCACTTCCGCATACACAGGTGTAGGATCAGTGCTCAGAAGACAGACTCCAGCAATCAGCTTCACATATGCTGTGCTGTCCCATGCTGCATGGGACCGGGCACCTATGGGGTCACTGCTCGTGGAGCATATGGTCACTGTTCCAGAGCTGCTTCAAGGCCCAAGCAGGCAGAACTCCTCTATGTCTCTGTCATCACCTTCTGTATGTAAAAATAATGATGACAGTTGGAACAAAACTTTTGGGGCTCAATGAAACCAGCATTTCCCAAAATACAAAGTTTACTCAAAATCTCCCACCAGCTATCTTATCTGTAGCACTTCAAGATCTAATTATGAACCACAACATATATGAGCTCCATACCACTATTACTTTAGTCCCATTTAAATGGCAAGTCTTAACTGTTAGCTTAAATGCAAAGTTCTAACATACATTCTTTTACATATGGTGTAAGACAAGTTTAAGGAATTTTGAGGCATCCTTAATTGCTATTCTTAAGATTTAAAGTCTGCAAGATGACTTCAGGGTCACTGTCTGATGTGTCATTTAATTCTGCTTCTTTTGTGTTGGAAAAATGAAAATGTAAATCTGGCAGATTAAACCAAGGAAAAAAAATCAAATTTAAAAACTAAGAGAAAAGTTCAGTACAATGAAATAGTTTTTGTAATGCTTTTGAGTAGAAACGTCTCTAATATGAGCCTCCCCAAAACCATCCATGGTTAAAAGTAACCTAAAATAGAAAAGAAAGCATTAAAATGCTTTTAAAGAAATAAAAAAAATATAAATCCATTATAACTAAAGATTTGAACTGCATGAAAGCACTGAGGGTTCTCATCTTGTGAACCGTACCAGCTCTCTTCACAGCGGTGCAGTCTTTTGAGAGTCAAAACACATTTTACAACATCAATTATGCCTCACAATATTTCTGTCACATCTGTTCTGCAAATAGTGTTATTATCCACATTTCATAAATTGCAGTGTCCTTTCTAAGCCATTAGTGAGGTACTATGATCCATGTTTAACTCCTGAAAACAAGTGTCTAAAAAATGAAAAAAACTTTGTCCTGCAGGGCTCTGCATGGAAATGAAACAATATTATTTCTCGTTTATTTATGAAAGCTTCCAAAGAAAATATTTGGTGGAGCTATTATTTTCATTGCCAGGGATGAAATTACCACTTCTTAACTTCTGATATATTCCCACTTCTTTTATCAAATGAACCATTAAATCAAGGTGAAAAAAGCCAGGTACTCTCTTTGACACTAATACTAGTGTCAAAAGTAATGTCACTATTCTGCACGACTGCTGCTACCAGCAGGACTTCCAGTAGCACCAGAGGTAATCCGAAGCTTTATTTTGGGACCGAGTATCATACATAATTACATGGCAAAAAGCACTCCCTGCTGTTCAGTCTGCAAGTACAGCTGCACTAAGTGAAATGGATGCAATTTTCTTCCAGTTTTTACAGGATATGTTTAATGCAGCATACTAACATTTTCACAGTCGGTGTTTTCCATGCAAAAAAGTGAAGCTCATTGAGCGCCCCTGATCACGTAACTCTCGATTCAGCGAGTGCAGGTTCCAAGGAATAGCATCAGGTTTACAATGGACGAAATCAACAAACTAAGCCAAGCTTTCCCAAAGGATTTTTCCTTTTTAATTATTTCTGTCCCTACTGAAGAATTGAAGAGGATAAAAAAAAAAGCCTGCAGTCCTACTTCTGACTAGCTGCCTGTGTCTTTGCAATAGCTTGCTCTTTCAGAGTCACAGAGAGTACTGTTTTGGGCACTGTGGGACTGCAGTATTGGCAGCCTCAACATCATGCAGGCCAGAACGAGGAGGCATGGAGAAATCGCCTTGTACTGGTGCAGTCATAAACAGGACAAGAGAATACGGCCCACCACAAATGGTGCTGTTTGCATAGGAATTCAGCAGCTATAATACTCACCTATTTTTAGGTTTCATGTCCCAGTCAAAACTTTGGTGGTATTTGCCAAGGTTCATGAACTTCCCCAGTTAACCCAAACTGTTCTGGCTTTGCAGTAGGTTCTAAAGGTAAAACATGAAGTAAGCATTGTGAAATGTCCCATTCACAGGGACAACACTGTGCTGACCGAACTGACCACCACTGTGTGGTTAAGGATGGCAAGGCAATACAGTCGGTTTGGCAGGTGGTAAAGCTAAGTGAGCATTGAGCTCATCACTGAACATTTAGCACAAAAAATCTGCTCAGAAGGCTTTGTTTAGAATAGCTTTGTTCAGTAATTTGTAGAAAAGGAATCATGATTTGGAAGACTGAAACTGGTGACTGGCAGTTAATATAAGCCATAAATTCTTACCTCATCCTTTAGCTATGGCATGCCACAGGATAATTAAAGCAGTCTGATCTTTAGAGCGATGTCTGAATTAGCTTAGTATTACGCTTTTTAAAAAAAAAAAAATCCCTCTAAAGAGGAATTCTGTGCATGATGTGTAGGAAATTGAGAGCTCTGTTATTACATTTTAATATGGTCTGATCTTCATTCCGTCAGCAGCACTGATCGTAAGGAAGCTGCTAAACCTCAAAATGGGCTACCAAGCTGCTGGTAGTAAGGTAGTGCACCATCTGCTTCCTTAGGTACCCGCTACTGCTGACCCATGGGCAGGTCTGCACAACTGAACTGACCCCTGCGTCTGGCTGGGGGGCTGTGCCCACAGGCAATCCTGCAAAGACTGTGGCACCACATCCTCTTCTTGTGTCCAGGGCGGCACCAGTTCTGAGGGAAATACTTTTTGCCTTTTCCTGCCTTCTGTCTTCTTTAAATCTGTACTCCAAATGTATCCCACTGTGGGAGGAATGCCTGTCCACCTCAGACCGGTATTCTGTAGCAGAAGTCATAGATTAAGTTGTTTTCAGAAGGGTGGAGTTTACAAAAAAAAATAAAATTATGAATCCCAACATTTTACTGTAAAAATGGATGAGGTAACAGGGTGTTAACTGCACTAAAAGTCCTGGGGAGCTGTCCCCCTCCAGGGAAGGAAGATGGCCCTATGGTTTCGAGGAAAAGCCAGGCTGAGCTCCAGGCGAGTTAGGGTTGTGATATGCCAAGCCACCAGGACTGATGATCGTTCTGTGTGAACACCTCGCTAGCAGGAATCTCCAAAAACGATACCGTTCTGATGCTGTACACGCCGGATATCACTGTGGTTTGCTGGTCATCAAAATAGCCCATCACATTTTACACTCTTGTCTTGGCTATCAATACTTTCCGATAATAACATCAAAACACGTGGATATTTAATTCCATGTCAAAGTAAGCATCTTAACTGAATTACTGCGGCAGTAAGCAGCAGAAATAATAGTTTCTTTTCTAGCCTGTTTATTATTTTTCAATTTCCCCATGGTTCTTTCTCCTCTTGAAAGAAACTACTAGAACTGTCCTGGAGTTATGCTGTTTTCTTTCTTTCGCTGTGTGAAAACTGTCCCCTAATTCCTCTTTTTTGTTCAAGTTTTATAGAGTTCACAGTGCGAATTAACACTTCATATTGCTGCAGCAGGCTGACGTACAGGGGAAAGGCCTGCGTGACATACAAAGTAGAACCAAATATTTTACAGAATTTTTTTTTTCATTCTTCATTTCTAAAAAGATCACAACTGCAACATGATTTCTTTTTACTAATTTGTTTCTTAGAAGCCTAGAAAAATGAGCACAGAAGTGGGTGAAAAGAACCACTTTGTTCCAGTTCTTTCGTTGCCAGCTTGGCCTATTTTCATTGATTTTAGTGGGAGTTACTGATATTTTCAGTGGAAGAATAAAGTCTTCTCTCTAAGATTGATTTGTGGTGGAGGCAATGATCAAATCAAATTTCCTTCTAGGGGAACACCCTTTACATGTTGTTTTGAGGTTTATTTAATAATGATACAGGAGTCTGAGAATGCTAAGTGCTGTAAATTGGCCAAGTAAACTGCTTTTTTGTGAAGTAGCAAAAGCTGAACCTGATATTGCAAGTGTCTGAAGAGGGGGGTGGTCCTGCTGATACCTTTTACTATCCTACAGCCATCACCATGTGTCAAGTCACTCGATGTTGCTGATAAATCTGAGGGAACAGCAGGACTTTGGTTAAGCCCATAAAAATGGTCTGTTCACGCTGCGCACACTGGATAACAAGGCAGTGCCTTAATTGTGTTGTGGGTTTTTTTGCAGTCTTCCCTGCTGGCATTTTGCAGCCCCCTTTCTTCAGTGCATCCCAGCCCAAATCTCTGAATTATGGTGGCATAGGCATGGTCATCGGTCATGAAATCACACATGGTTTTGATGACAACGGTAAGGCACTGAGTTTCTAGTTACAAAACTTAACAACGCACAGAATGTTTTACATGCTTTGGTGCTTAATCGTTCCAGAGAGCAGGTAAAATGAAGTTTCCATATATAAGACCAAATCTGGATTTCTGAGGCTTTGCAGCGTTGTTACCCATGACGATTCCCAAAAGCATGAGCCAAAGAATCCCACAGACACTCCTGTAGCTGCTAGGCTGCAGCAACAGCCCAGGATGGGTGGGGGCCTGCAGCACACAAAGGGCTTTTAATGTAGTTGCTGGTCGCTTGCTTTTCCCAAAGGCTACATCAAAAACTATCATAACCTATGCATAATCATGAACAGGGTGTGTCACTAGGCTGGCACAGGTGTGAACTCAAAGGTCTAGCTATCAGACCTGTGGCCCAGGCACAGTGTGCCTTTCTAGACCTGCACTATGATCAATCCAGCGCTGAGTCACAGGTCAGAACCATACCAGGCTTCCTGAGAGCGCCTTAATCCCATCTTCTGATTCAGTCTGAATTCATTTGGTTTTCTCCTCTGTTGAAATGTAGCCCTCTTAGGAAAAAATCCCACAAACCAAAAAAAAAAGCTTCATCTGTATGACTGCCTCATTACAACGATTTTTTTACATGAGTGATTATACTTACTCGCTACCCTTCTTAGTGTATCAAAACCCTCTTTTCCTGTATACATAATTCTGTTATTATTACAGGCAGAAATTTTAATGAGAATGGAGACCTTGTAGACTGGTGGACTGAAGAATCAGCACGCAATTTTAAGGAGCTATCTCAGTGTATGGTGTACCAGTATGGAAACTTCTCATGGGACTTAGCCGGTGGACAGCATGTATGTCATACTTATTTGTAACTACCAATGTTCTTTTTAATGAGGAAGTACAAAATCTTATGTTCTAAACATGCAAACCCTTATTTACATGAATGCTGTCTTGGCTTATGGCCAACACTGTCACCCCAACACCAAAAAAAAAAAAGGCAAAAGAGATTCTTAAAGATAGTGGTAAAAACTCCACACATACAATGACTGTTCTGAAAGAGGCAGGATTTATGTTCTGAATGAGTGGCAGTCCTAGAAGCCTTTGCCCTAGAAACCTAGAGCCCTCAAAGGCTCTTTTTTAGTTCCACAAAGGAACAGAAAAAAAATTTGGAAGTTTGAACCCCATTGCCCTAAAGCTTGATGCACAAATAATGTATATCCCCATCAAAACAAATCCTGCCTGCTTGCTTTCCTTCACTCAAAAGTTTCTTGCTCTGTCCCCCAGAGAAACATCTGGACTACAGAGCTAAAAGGCCTGAGTAGAATCAGTGTATAGTAAGAGAGGAAGAGATGATACGCAGATTTAGGAGAGGCAGGCAATCCAAAAGTGGCTGCATTTACAGCATTCTGCACAGTTAAAATTACTAGGCATTCAGTGTGGTGCCTGTGGCTGGAAGCCCTAATTTCACAAGAACAGTTGGCAGGATCAGGTCTGCTCTGTGTCCCAACAAGATCAATATCCCATTAACTTACAGAAACAGGTGATCTATTATAATTACTCATACGGAACAGGAGACCAGTCCTGTTCCTATTAAATACAAGCTGCAAAACTGCCACTGGAAGGAGACAGCCCTGTACAGGTAACACCCCAGTTCATAGCATGTCATTTCAGGGGTGACCAAGTTCTCTGCTAATGCACCTGCATTGTCTCTCACGCACAACCCATCTTTAATCATCTAGAGGCAGTTTAACATCTCCACAGTGCTCCCGCTCTCTTGTCCCAGGCTGGCAGTGCACGTACTTCAAAGCTACAGATAGCAGGGAAAAGCTACAGATAGAATAGGGAAAAGAGAAAACTTCCAGCCCTGAGGTTTTCCTAATCTGTGTGTTAAACTGTTGACTCACAGAGAGGCCAGTAAAACTAGAGAACATTATAACATACTTTTCTGCCATTTTTTCACACATTAAATTCTGTCTAACAATGATTCTAGGTTTTGCAGCTTTGAATATCATAGTCCAGTATCTTGGGCTAATGGTTAAAAATACATTTTTTTAAAAATAAAATTACAGATTCTTCATCACCAAAGCTTTAGTGATACTTCACTGACTTATGAATACCGTACCAGCTAAATAGATGTCTTCTATGTGTCTTGCTACCAAAGAGCTACCTCACTTGCGTAATACACAGAAAATACTTCCTAGCAGTTTTGCTGATCTCTTAACTGATCATTTTAGCTATTTGGAGTTTGGATATTAACTTGTTTTGTAGACTATACAGACAGGTTCTGCCCACTTCCTCCAACTGTAGTAAGAAACTGAGGGTTAAAGACATGGAGAAAATAGGAAGAATGAATGAACAATGACTAAGCATCATAAGATCTGGGTAGAAGAAACGAGAGCCTAGAAAGCTGCCTGTAGGGGAAAGAAGAGGATTAGGGAAAACAATAGTATCCGCATGGATTTTGAGACAAGGGAAGCAAAGACTTTTCAGAGATGTTAACATAATCTTGTACTAAAACTTCAGATTCTAAGGGGATTCTTGCCTTTAAAAAGTGAAAAACACACACGGTTTGGCATTACGGGTCCTGGATATACTCTTCAGCAAACTATACTTTTCCTTTCTGTTTTACAGCTGAGTGGAATCAATACACTAGGAGAAAACATTGCTGATAATGGGGGTGTTAGACAAGCATATAAGGTAAGAAGTATCCATTTTTTTATTTTAGCTGAAACCATCATAGATTAAGAAAATTAATTTCAGAGCCTTTGAAGAAGAAACATTTTTGTGTTAGGGACAGGACCATACCTACTGCATCATCAAGGCACAGTTTAAAACTATTGAGTAGCTGTTGTATTTCTTTCATCCTGTTAATGATTTCGGGATACATATTATCTGTTCCTAGTGCGCTCTTTTTCAGCTGACTTTTTTTTTTTTTTTTCTTTTGTGAATAGGGAATCTGTAGAATGAAAACATTTAGTGAATCACACTTGGACCATCAGCTAACTAAACTGATGATACTGAGCAGCTGTCTGCCTCTGGCTATCTGTCTTCACCAGCTTTTTTTATGCCAGGAAGGAGAGACAAAATGACTTTCTTGTAAGCTCTACCCACAAACAGTCTCTGCCTACATGGAGCACTATTCACTCTTAAAAAACCTGTTCAAAATATCATTTTGTATACGTGACTTGGGTCCCCTGTACAGGTATCCAAAGATGTCAGTGACATCTGGACTCCTTGTGCTAAGCCTCCATGGGAGCTTGTATCATTTTTGGCTTTCCTTCTGTTCTCTTCCTGAAACAGATACTTAACCCCTTAGATTGGCCAACTTCAAGACTGAAAGTAAAAGAAACAGAGGTCTTCTCTTTAGGAATGCGGGTGAGAGGCGAGAAGCAAGTCAGCTTCTCTGTGACCTTGTCTTGTGACTTGCAAATCTGATTGTTGCAGGCCTTAATAACATGATCCTTCCTGGAACACCTTCTTCCGTGGCAAAACGTTCAACGCTTGACAACTGGGGGGCTGTCATTCCTCAACAAAGTGCCCACTGGGATGCACGGGCCAACTCACACTTCTCAAACTTACTTCACTAGAAATGTACAAGTTTGAGGGCAAATACAATTATTACTGAGAGTTTAAAGAATGAAGCCTAAAAGAGGCGTCAGTATGGTATATTAGATTAGTCTGACCTTCAATTACTGGAACATTTGTGCATTTAAAAGAAAACCAGTACAAACTCACGAAAGGGGATACTCTTTGTGAAAGGAATAGGAGTAGCCAGAGAAAAATTAGAAGGTCAGAAGTATTAAAAAAATACTAGATATTCATATTATGACATCATATAAATAGTAAAAAAAGGTCCAGAAGGAATCTTGAGAGGTCACCTAGTCCACCCCCCTCCTAGCAGGTAGAATCAACAATTTCTGTATCATTCAAACACACCGTAAGAGAAGTTCCGCTACCTCCTTGCTGCAGCTCGAGTGCCATCATGTCTTTGCTTTCAACAGTGGAAACAGCAATTTGTTCCTTTCTTTTCTGCGACCTTTTGCGTATTTGAAGACTGTTACATGCTTGAAGGCCCAGACTTTTCTTCTTTAGACTAAACAAACCCAATTATTTCAATCTTTCCTCATAGGTCATGTTTGCTAGACCTCTGCTCATTCTTGCCGCTTTCTTCTGGACTCTCTCCAGTTGGTCCACATCTTTCTTGAAGTGCAGTGCCCAAAATGGGACAAGCGCTCCAGCTGAGACCTGGCCAGTGCCAAGTAGAGTAGAAGGATTACTTTGTGCGTCTTACAGGAGACACTCCTGTTTATACATCCCAGTATGGCACTTGCCTTTTTTTGCAATACTGTGGCACCGTTGGCTCCTGTTCAGCTTGTTACCCACTAAAACTTCCTGGAACCTTTTCAGTAGACCTGTTAACCACTCATTTCTCAGCGTGCACTTGTGTGGTTGATCGGTATTACTCGTGGGGTAGCTGGGTACTGACTTAGAACGTTTCACCAATTTGCCAGCATTTTTCTATCATTAATGAAGTACTAACGACACATTGTTTGACACATGGTCTTCATAAGAAACATGAAAGCAGCTGCTCTTACTATGGAAAGGTTTTAAAGTCTTCTGCAATTCGTTTAAAAAAGAAAAAAAGAACAAAACCATAATAAAATCTACTTTTCGTAATGCAACATTAGATAATTGATGAAGTTGATTTCTTCCTGCAGAAACAGTTTTATGCTAGTAAAATTGTATCATGGAACTCTGCATTGTGCAAAACGAAAGCATCTCTTACCATACGTGTGTTATTTTAGACTCTAACCCAATAGCTGGCAAAAAAATACGAAATACATTTATGCGATAAACATTGGCAAGAAAACTAAACTGTAAACAGGACAGCAAATACACGTGTTCTGTAGAATCAGAGAGGAGTGATTTTTTGCTGAAGCTTTTTACTCCACATCTCTCAAGTTCAGTGGAAAGAAGAAGGAGAAGAGGGAAAGATGAATACATGGGGGAGGAATGAGTCCTCTGATCACATCTTGGTCATCTTTGAGATCATTTGTGCCTCCTTGAGCAGAGGCAGGCAGGGGTGCCCAGCCCAGCCACTTAGCCAGGGATCCATGCACTGGGAATCCCCAGATCACGCAAGGCACCTCAGCTATGCTCATTTTGGGACCATGCCTTAGAAAGCAGCACGGCAGCGTGCTTTTCTATGTGGGTCTTCACCACGCAAAGTACATTGTGAGGGTAGCTGACAGTAATGCCTGACCCACAGAACCTGCAGGAGACAGAGCTGCTGCAAGTGGGTCTTTATACAGGCAGCTCTGAAACGCGACAATTTGGAGGCTGGCTTAGCACAGGGGTTGCTGGTGCCTCACTACACCTACCCCTGCGTTGACATCAGAGAATCTCAGAGCTATTTCCATTACAGAACGTATTCTGGTTTTTTAACGCAGAACTGCCTTGCTTTATGCAGTCATTAATTAACCCCATGAAAGGATTTGCTATGTAAATATGTAACAGTCCAAGGGAATTTAATGCATTAATTATGACAAAGCTTGCTGAAGAACAGGACTCTCTGTAGCTACTGCATTTCAGAACACAACTGTCCTTTGCATTCTGAATTTCTTCCCCTGTAAAAAGACGCATAGTTATGCAAAGGTCTTGTTATCTGGGTGTACTCATCTCACTGAAATTACTCCATTGCCTTGACTTCTTTTTGCTACAGTAACTTGCTTGCTTTAAGCCTGTTTCTGTTACCATTTATTCCAATAGAATTCAGCCAGCTTCACTGAACCTGGTGTAAACCAGCACTGTAAGGCCCATTCAATGAGAAAACTGTCTTGGTTCAGTCAGGCTGCTGGTATCACCATACTAAGAAATGGCCCTGTCAGCATCTGCTTAAAGGCGGCATGTGGTAAGATGGATGGCCAAGGCAGTCCATGATTAATTATGTCAAACAGTCCATGTTCCTCCTTGTCATCATTGCATTTTGACTGTCTGGGCTGGAAAGTGTAACATTTCTACTCAATTCATTCTACAGGCCTATGAAAACTTTGTGAAAAAGCATGGAAAAGAAAAACTTCTTCCTGGTCTTGAAATGAACCATAAGCAGCTGTTTTTCCTGAACTTTGCACAGGTATTCTATACATCTTGACTGAAGGCTTTGAAAATCACTTGAAGTTACAGTTTCACAGTAAGTCAGAATGAGTAGGCTGACTTTCACAGTTTTACTGAGCTGGCAGAGTTGCTAAGCTGAGCAGTGTTCACTACAAAGCAGTGAAAATAAGATCTTGTTAGGTAATTTTTATCTTCCCTAAATAAATTAATTCAGCCACAAGTAAGTCTCGTAGACAGTTTCTTGTGCCCAAATGCCTTTGAGGACAACAGTATGGGGTTTTTTTAAACAAAACATACATGTTTTTCCTGTGTTCTAATGTGAAATTTATTCTCACAACATGAAGTATTTCATAGTGAAATGACAGCAAGTCTCTTCCTGGACAATCTCCTTGCTAACAAATGCTTCTCTTTGTTATGCGTACAGGTATGGTGTGGAACATACAGACCAGAATATGCTGTAAACTCCATCAAAACTGACGTGCACAGCCCAGGCAAATTCAGGTCAGCATGTATAGTAATCTTCTGTGCAATTCCTACAGCTTTTAAAGAACTCTACACAAAAGGCTAGGCAGATTTAGGCGTATACACGTATATAGGCATAACAACTGAAGATGGTTGAGAGAGAGCAAGACAGTGTCCCTCTAGACCTCCCAGCCCTAGCATAGCTCTGTGCCGACAGAACCAGGCACAGTCCTTCCCAGGAAGCTCCACAGGCAGAAGGCAGCTGTGAGGCCATTGTCCTCACCCTTGAGGTGATAGACATACAATTCTGTCAGCACTGTTGAGAAGCTTTGAATAGTTGGATAAACACCATTACCTGCCTGTTACCAAACATGGATGATTGTTACAGCAGAGTCCCAGTGACTGTGTCCAGAATCCAGTGCTCTTCCAGAAGCCCCGTAGATCCCACAATAGGTCCTGATATGGTTCTCATAAAGACCAAAGGCTATGGATGGACTTCACCTCTGCTGAAGTCACCGGTAAAACCTCCAGTTAACCGGTGGAGTATAAACATTTTACTCTTCCAAGCATGGAGAAGAATTAATCTCCTGTTGAACAGTAATACTGACGTGAGAGAGAAATTCCCTTCTGTCGGTAGCCTTTGCTGTCATTAGAATGAGGAACTCCTTTGCCATCTGGAGCTAAAGGCGTTTTAGCTGTAACACAAATTTGTATTTTCTGCCTTGTGTACTCAGTCAGCCTTCCCAAGAATAGGTGGGCTTGAATTCAGTAGTCATGCAGGAAACTCAGCTGTTCAGGGTGGAGGTCTTTGGGCCAGACTAGGATCTTTTCTTTTGAATGTAAGTCAGAGCAACATAGTCATCAGTAGTGTAACAGTGGTTTTGCTCTAATAAATGTTTGGTCAAATGCCATGAGATCAAGTAGTAATGTAGACACCACATCTCTGTTAGCTTTGAAGGGCTGTGCCATCTCTAGAATTCACGTACACAATAGCTGATTTCTCTCCTGATACAATTCAGTACATCAATTCCAGTATCTATCTTTCAATGGCTTTTCACCAAAGAATTATTTTGTCTATCCCACATATTCAAATATTTAGTGAAAGCAGTGACTGTTCCTTCAATTGCTACTTGACTGGCATTTCACTGTGGGTGGTTTTTGTACTATCTGCAGATCTCTCCCAGAGGCAGTTTATGCATCAAGTCCTCTAATCAGCCGAATTTGGTCATAATGCTAATGAGGCTCTGCAGCAGTTCTTCAGAGTGCTCCTCTCTGCTTACCTAATTTGTATGAGTCATGAGTTCTTTGAAGTTCACTACTTCAGCATCTTTGTGTAATTGCATTTGTGTATATCTTGAATATACTACAGCATGTATGGTTCTGGTTTTATATCAGTATGAAGGGCTATAGAAACTTTATATGGAATTACACAAGTATGAGAAAACATACTAACATTTTTAGAATGTGAAGTAATTTTCAGGATGAGGCACCCCTAGGAGCTGTAAAATAGAAAGCATTTCAGTACACGAGACATACCCGCAAAATTACTGCCTAATGACATAGTGTTAAAATGCCACAATGGCTCCCAATGTGCCCTTTTTTTTTATTATTTGAGGGCACGAGGTAGGAGTTTCTGTTGGTTGGTTGAAGACCTGCTCCTCTGACTGCAGGCTATTTCTCCTTACAGGTAGGACAGGCAGCTCTGCACAAAAATTGTTAATTGCATAGTACAATTCTAGTTTATTGGCTAACAGCTCTGAGCACTGGATGGGTAGAGTCTTTTGTCCAGTAGAAAAATCAGAAGTTAGCAGATAGATGCCTTAGATGAGGGGATCATCAAAGGCAGGCGAAAGAGAATCTGCATCCAAGTGTTAACATGCAAAATTAAAGCAAGTACAGTAACAAGTACAAGTCAAGCCCTGCTTACGTACCGAATCCCTGTAGTTCTGGGGACCTTAGTAAATGAAGCAGGATTCTTATCCCACTGCTGTTTTATCTGTTAATAACAAATGTCAGTAAGTTTTATTACACCCAAAATACTTTTTGCTCTGTTTCTGGCAAAATCCCATTTTAGCAGTTTTAGTCCTTAGGAGCAATGAAGCGCTGCTAGGTCACTGCCAGTGCATGACTTCTGTAATCGTTTGTGCTGGCTCCTGAGGCCAGTCAGCTAATAGTCTCATGTTCAATCCTATGGAGACAGTCAAAGTGTTACAGATGTCAGCTGCTGAACTTCACCTCAACTTCTGTGGACACTTCCCGGTCCTGTTCAATCTAATGATTAAGATTATTCACAGAATAATCACAAATTACTCAAAGAAGCAGTTCTTGAAGTAACTCCTGGTCCACAATCAACGTGCACCAGTATCTTTGACAGTGGAAGCTCTTTTCCTGCGTAGGTGTGTGCATGCTAGATTTCCATTCCTGAAGGAATGAGCAACTCCAAGCAGATACATTCACATATGTTCACAATTACACATGCAAACACTGCTTTAGCTGGAATGTCCTCATATTCACTTGAAAGCTGTTCTTTGTAAGAGTCTTTTTTCCAGGAAACTCATTCACTGGAACATTTGTGGAGAATGCCCAGAGCAGCAGTATGATCCTAGTTAAAACTTGATTGGTGTAAAAGTGTAAATGAACATTCAGTGAAAAGTTACACCGCAGTCCTCTACCTCTGGGTCTTGTTTTCCCTTTACTGAGAAACTTGTCAGCAAAACAGAGCTGAAAAAATTCTCAGCGAAAACAAATGACAAGCATTTAAACCTGTTCCTGGTGAAATAAATGGAAGTTTTGTGAAAGCCAGTAATGAAGAAGGGACAGGTCCTCTGTTTTGGGGAGCTGCAGGAGGGACCATACAAACTGCAAAGAGAAAATACAGTCACTCCTTCAGGTGAAACGGAAGCGGTAGTCAGAGTTCAGAAACAGGGGCGTTTCCCACAGTATTTCGAGGTGACACAAAAAAGAAGTTATAAAATGTGGGTCTTCTTGTTTGTTTTAAACAAAGACAAGCAACTTAAACTTAACACGATGTTGTTTTGTTTTAAAGGGTCATAGGATCATTGCAAAACTCTCCAGAGTTTTCTGAAGCCTTTTCATGCTCCAAGTCCAACTACATGGATCCTGCTAAAAAGTGCCGAGTTTGGTGATGGAACTGTAAACCTTGCGTCTTGAGGAGCTTTCCAGAAAAAAAGAAATTTTGAACTAATGTTGAAAAGGGGAGGAGGGAAGAAAACCGAGGCAAATACGCTAGCATAGTCACTGTATTTCTTAGTAAACAGGCAAAAATAAAAAAATGACACATCAAAACATCAAATGAAGGACTTAATGCTGATGCAGGAATTAGCTGCTGTAGCTGATCGGCTGCTTTTCCTATCAGTGAACCCTGCAGAATCTAAATCACATGACAGCACATGATAACATTTCATTTGTAGTTAATCCTGTTCCCCACCAGCCAGTGGCTTTTTGGTCGGTTTTTTTAAAATGTCAAAGTATAACACATTGTCTCCCACTGGCCGGTGAATGCATCTTTCCAATCAAGCGAAGGAAGGAAATACTAAGTAACAGAGTTTTAGACATCATAACATGATAATAAGACAACAGTTTACATCCTAAGTGTCAGACTTTGTACCCTCTGCTGTTACGATAAATCTGTTCTACCAAATGTTTTCATTTTTACTTGAAACCATTTATACAAGAGGAGTCCAAAGACCTGCTGTAATTAGGTAACTTCCTACTAATTATTCCAGTGTGTATTATCTGAAGTCACCATTTACAACAGTTTATTTACTGCTTTCCAGCCAAACTGAAATTGTAGGTAATTTATTAATTTTGAACATACAATCTGTACGATTGTGATCAAAGACCCTTTCACAGTTTTCTAAGCTTTTTCTTGCTTTCTCTAAAGTTGGTCTTTTTTAAAGTTTCTAGTAATGTATAAATCATAGTTTTTGTATTTAAATCTGAGCTACACTTTTGACTTGAAGTATTGTAATATATTTTATCAGTGGCCACATAGAACTGGGAAATTTGAGTAAAGCATGGTATTAGGCAATAAGACAAAGTCTGCAAAACAGAGCTCTCCAGCAGAGTATACCAATATTCATGTTTTCAGGCTGACTTTCTTAGTGGTTAGGGTCTGATCCTGCACATAATTTGTACATGTGATCAACATCAGTCCTCACAGCAGTGAGCTGTGCAGCTGATCGCAAGAATGGAGCTTTAAGAAAGAAGGTATAAGGCTTTAAATCTGCACTGATATGTATTAAACATCCTCATGCAGATTGCAAAGGAACTTACTGCTTTGTATATCAAAGCAAACAGATTTCCAAAAATAAGTACTAGATACCTCAGATGACTGCTACAATAGGTATATTTAAAAACCTATGTTCCTTTTAGCTTTCTGAGTTTGTCATCTGATAAAAACATTTTGATAATAAACTGAAGTTACCAGCCAAATGCAACGTGTGTTCTTTATATGAAATACAAAAGTACAAAAAAAATAGTCTCTGCAAATAAATTTCTGTACTCGCCCCGAGCACCACACTTCAACATCTATAACAACTGACAAAAGGAGAATTTGAATAACTTTGTTCTAGTTTAAAAGCAGATGTCAGTAGGTTATTTTGTACCCAAGGAAATCACACTAAAATTGCCTTCCGAGACTTTTCCCAAACAGTATGATAAAGAGAGCAGAAAATAGAATGCTTTACACGAGCTCCCAGCTGGAAGAGCCATGCTCAGTGCAGGAATAGCGAAGGCATCGTGTAGCAGCCGGTACAGCTCTGCGGCTGCTGGAGCCATGGGGGCTGAGACCTGCGGTTTCCAGGCAGCAACAGCAGGGTCTTGCTCGTGATGCACCAGACAGATCAAGTGGGTGGCGGCAGCCACAAAGCAAGTTCCCAGAGACCCTTCTGAAGGCACCGAGAGGACCTGCAGAGACCGTGCACCCCACACTGTTCTGCGCCTGGTCACTGCTGCCGCAAAGTCACACCTGACTGCGACAGGGAAGCACAGAGTGACAAGCAGTGGAAGTTACAGAAAAGCAATACAAAAAACTGAAAAGTTGTGTTAACAAGTTTTTTACTTCTCTGCTGGGCCCCTTTCTTCACTCCTCTCCATGTATTTGTCATAGAACTTTCTATACTCTTCATCATTAACCTGATACATCCAAATGGAACTCACTCCTTTACACACACCCACAGAACCATGAAACGGGCAGTGCTGTTATCCTCAGCTAGAGAGGGAACACTCATCAAGGATAGAAAAGACATTCAGAGGGTACCTAAATAAATCAGTGGATCACTAAATACAGAATAAATACTATTAAATGTAACAATCAATAAATACAGGATCGCTAACAGTGAATAGAATAGCAAATACATCCCTTATGAAGACATAAGTCAACACAGGTCAATCAGTTCTACTGTCTGTTCAAGAGAGCATCGGCAAGCTTTCCTGATATACCTCATGTCCTTTGCCTGCTAGACAGACAAAACTAGAAGAGCATATTTATTGCTGGAGATATGGATTCCTCCCTTAGTTTTCAACAGCAGGCATACTACACAGTGAAGGGTTTTTCACTTCTGAGCACCTATAACACATTAGTAGTTGCACCTTGTCTCATGCTAGCTCCTGATGGAGCAGAGAACGTGAATTCATGTACTACCAAGGATATGGTCATTTCTTTCACCAACACAGTAAGAAATAAAGCTTCCCTTGTGGAAAGTATCCAGCAATGCTCTAGCCAGAGCAGCAACCGCTTCTCTTTAAGGAAACAAAACATAGACACGTGTGACAGCTGGCTTTAGACATGTCACCGAAGCCAGCTTTTACATTCATGAATTATAAGAGTTTCTTCCCAAAACCCCCATTTCATCACTGCTTCTCCCGCCCATCTATTATAAAATACAGCAAATCCAGCTGTAAGAATGAGCTAGAGTTTGGAAAGAAGTGTGTGAAATATAAATCAAACATAATGCATGTGACCAGAAGAAAGGCAGTTTCACTAGTAATTGCTGACTGCAGAAAGGGCCAAAAATATCCTCATTGCATGAAATCAACTGAATGAAGATCTAGAAAACAACCTACCAGTACTCCTTGATTTGACAGAAGCGAGTAAGAAAGGTTTGAAGAAAAAGGACCTGGTCAATGTAGGAATGTAAATAGTCAAACTATTTGTAAAAGTCCTGTTTACCTATGCCCATGCATCTGTATCGCTTCCAAACCCACCCCCTCACAGACACCCCCCCTTCTTTCCTTCCTTCCCACAGCTACACTAGGCTGTTAGGCTACACTAACCATGGGCTCAAGCCTGGAGGTGCAGATGAGGCTGCTCATTCCTTAGTTCCCCTTCGGAGTAGGTGGGACAATAAATGGAAGGTTGGCTTTACTCCTGGCCTAAGCAGCTGAATCAGAACTGTGTGAGTAGCTGTTACTACTGAAATACTCCCTTTTAGGAAATGAGTACACGCCAGAACCAAGAGAAAACAAATCAGCTACAGTACACATCTGAATCTCAGAGTCTCCTGATACCAATCCTGGGGTCACACATGTCATACATCACCTCTCATCAGTGTACTCTTCTCCAGAAGTCACCTGGCACATCAGCTAAGTGCAGGGAAATCTTGTATTAGCATTGAACAGAAAACTAAAGTGTAAAATATGCCTCTTAGAAACCAAACCTTAACCAGTGGCAATTATAATTTCCTCACTCATGCAAAAGTGAAATTTAGTTCTTCATAAAAGAAACAGCACTAATCATTTAGATGTGAGATACCTGACATTAAACAAGCAGTGACAATCAGGATATACCTTTCATCACAGCTTGCAAACTAATTAGTGCCAGCAAGGATTTTCCTTCTCAGACCGTTAATATGTTAGAGGAGTATTTATAGAAATACCATGGACAGCATTTACCAAAGGCCTCAAAACCAACAAACAAGGTGGGAGGGCATGGCACTCAATGCAGCATTCATGTTTCACTGCTTCATTTCCACATCTAAAGACTTAACAGATTTCACAGTAGGAGTTTAAGTGGTGTGCAAATGCACTGGTTCCTTCTAGCATTCCCATGAGGCACCTAACTGATCAGTAAGTTACCAGATTTACTGCCAAAAGTTATAAAAACAGTAAATGTGGTGTCACTGACAAAAACACCGTGTTCCTAAAGTGTTGGCATCTTCTGTAAATTTTACGTGCCTTGACTACGTTGCCTAAGAAAACATGTTGCTGTTGTACTGAAGAGATACTTTGAAAAAGCTGGCGTGAACACCACCGATATGAAGAATTGGTGACAATACGTAGAAAAAACCCCACAACTAGTGCCCTATGAAGTGTGCATCAGTATGTGTTTGTTAATGTTCAAAACCAGAGAGTCAAATAAAGCAAAAAAGATTTAAAAAAAAAATAAATCAGTATTACCTCAATGGCAGGAAGGAATTTCTGGAAGAGGAGAGTATTCCATACCTAGAAGAAAGAAAAATATGTTAATACCTGACAAGTAATTAACTTATCTTGATTTTGGATGAATATGGGATACCTCCTCCTTGTTAGATTCCTCTCATTCCCTTGCTCTTGATAGTTTTATTCTTGGGGTTTTGTTGTTTGGTTCCCCCCCCCCCCC